GTAACATTTTCTAAGAGATCATGTAGCCCTACAATGCTGACATTCTCAGAGTCCTCTTACTGTTCTAAGATCATTTTCCTACAAGCCAAAATTTAACCTTTCTTGCATAATAATTTCAAAATTTCCATATCCATACAATCCCTTGTTTGCTTGGCATCATCTATCAATAAATCTATCTCTTATTATATGAATCCCCATTAAAAGCTTTAATTAAAACAGAATTTAGGCCTCCCGGACTGGCTGGGACAAAAAGGTGGGGGTGAGAAGAAGATATTTTAGTTTTCTCCTCAGTTTTCATCAGCGATTTAAAGACTATGGGCTTTATAGAACTAGAGCTAAATACAATTATTTTCTTAGTTTGGAGTCTAGGCATGCAGAGTGTATCCTTTTCCCATGTGGCAAAAAGAGAGGATGTAACAATTAAAAATTACATAGTAGATGCATTGTTCATTTGCTTGAACATCTGCAGACCTGCCCATGCACATGTAAAAAATAACCATCTGAACAATTCTTAGCATTAACGGTGACTTTTTCTGCAAGGAACTTTATTAAAGGTGGGGCACAGTCTAGTTCAGGGATCTCCAACCTTTAGCAACTTTAAGACTGGTGGACTTCAGCTCCCAGAATTCCCCAGCCAGCAGGTTGAAGTCCACAAGTCTTAAAGTTGCCACGGTTTGAGACGGTTCTCCAAACTTGGCAACTTTAAGACTTGTGGACTTCAATTCCCAGAGTTCCTTAACCAGCCGACTGGCTGAGGAATTCTGGGAGTTGAAGTCCACCAGTCTTAAAGTTGCCACGGTTGGAGACCCCTGGCTAGGTAGCCAGGTAAGGACAAGCAGGTGCGGTTGTCACGTGAAATCTCTGCATTGGGGCTTCATACTGTTCTGGAACCCCCTCAATTACCTCCTTTTGGCCCCCATACCACCCATCCAAAGTTCCTAAATATGCTTCCTCCCAGCCTTTTTCATACCGTAGGCCATTTTGGCGAAACTGTGGAAGGGTCGCTATCAGCAGCCACGGCACCCGCCGCCCAGAGAACCCACTGGGGAGCCCCTCATTGCGGTCTCGGGCCCACGGAGAACCTTCCCACCTGTCGGCAGCAGCCCCCGCAGGGAAAGATCGCGTCCCTCCGGGTTCACACCATCCCAGAGGCCGACCTCCGTCCCGCACCTTCCCCGCTCGGCTAGGAGTCGGACTCAACCGCTACCATGGCAACCCCTCCTCCCGCGAGATTTGGCGCTGGTATTGCTGGACCTGTGGCGCCGCTGCCATGGCAACCAACCCCCCCCCCTTCCTCTTATCCCCGCGCGCTCACGTCTTCTTTCCTCACCCTCAGAAACAGTCCGCTTGACTTCTCCCTCCAACCGTCGTTTTAAAACCTCGCGCCGCTTCCGCTTCAACCGCGCGATGACTCCTCCCCGTCTTCCCCCGGGCACCAATGCGGGCGGAGAAGCGGCCGTGATATCATTGTAAGCCGGGCTCGGCCGTGTGATTGGTCGGTATTCTCTTACAGCCTTTGGCTGCGCTTTGGATTCGTTTGAAATTTGACCCCGCCCTTCAACTCAAGGAGGCTCCTACTAGGTATTGGTTGCGCCAATCAGATGCCTTGGTTTAAATTAAAGGCCGCGTCCCACTTTCGCTGTTGAAGCTGTTATAGTGGAGCTGATTGGCTGGGTTGCCCGAACGCGCAAAAAGAGTTGGCGATGGTTTAAGAAGGTATCTGCAAAAATACGGGTGACCTCTAGGGGGGGACTATAGAGATTCAGAAAACGTCTCTTGGTTGCCCTTTAGTCCTGATTTGGAGTTTCGCAATGCAGCCCAGATTTAGTTGCCCCCAAAGTCATCATAATTATAATCCTGAATCAATCTGCTACAGAATGCAAATCTTAAATTGCGTTTCAACTGCTTTGACATCTATGAAAAAGATTCCAACTAATATCTTTCAATTGAATGACATTATATGCCCAGCATTGCCTGGCACTTTTAAGATGACTTGGTATTTAATTGAGAAATTGATGCCTGGTGTTGATCTGTTGTGTAATGAATGCTGCATTGCCATTTCCTTGAATCTTTTGCTTCATTAAGTGACATGCTTCTATTGGCAAATATAAATATAGATAGGGATTTATAAATATAAAACCCTATGTTCCTTTTCTTGTCATGTGCTCTTTGTCTTTTAACTCCTGCACTGCAATCATCACCACGGATAATGCATAGCAATTAAAAGATTTCCTCTTGAAGCAGAGTTGTTTGCTTCTTTGAATAGTATGGAACTGCCCAAATCTTTGGAACCCACTTTTTATCCACAACAAATCAGCAATGCCAGATCAGAATGTATCAAAGAATTTCACTCTAAATGATAAATGTGGGGTATAATAAATAATAAAGGTAAGCTACGTTTTTTTAAAAAAAAAGAAGTTAAAAAACTCTACCTTTCCAAAAAGTATCGGAAGAAAAATCCAGGTCCAGTTCCAAGACAGGAATAAAATGGAGGCTGCTTAAGAAAAAAGGCCTGTTTATTGACGAGCAGATATAGCAACAGCATGTGGTTCTGGGGCAGCTGACAAATTAGCTTGATGAATGTAAGGATTTTTATACAGTTTACAGTATTTTGTAATTTTGAGGTTTGTTTTGTGTGCTTTTATTATTTGATTTGTTTTATTTGTTTTGCAAGGGCTTCTGATGGGACTTGATTACCAGCTTCCTGAACCTAATCCTGTCAGGCATGTGTAATTGATTTTATCCTGCTAGTTTGCTGCTAGTTTGCCTTTCTTAATTGGACCAGTTTTGTTTCTGCTTTTCTCAATGAATGGGGTTAAGGTCCTGTCCTGTCCTTAATCCCATCACCTGGAGGTGAAGGTGTTTTGTTTGTGAATAGGCACATTGAGGCCTTCAGCCTCTTAAGAACATGTTTTATCCATTTTCTCCTTTGAGGAAATATAATAATCTGCCTCTTAATATCCCCCAAAATATCTCATTCTTCTGGGGGGAGGCTTCCCATAGTATATTTCTAAGGCATTGTCTCTTGTTCAGAGGCACTCTTGTAATTACTTTAGGATACTTCTAGGGAAACAGAAGTTAAGCGGATTAAATACTCATAGCTCAAGATATAATTTTAAAGCATTTGTTCATGCTGAGTGGCACGCTTATTATTTGGACCAAAGCTTTAGTTACGGTATTTACATCCCCTATTTCTATCCATTTGTACAGAGTGGTTCCCTCCACTCTTTCTATCATAATATCTGTGAGATGTGTCAAAGTAGGAGATGACCGTGCCAAATTGTCTCACTGGAGGAGACAAAAATCTGAAAGCAGCTTCACTGTAATCCTCTAAGTCTATGCTACATCACGTGCACTGTTTCCATTTCTACATTGTGGTTTCCTTCTTAGTTCTGGGAATAGGATTTAGTTCATGATACAATCAGAAATACTTTCACCAAAAATATTGATAAGCTAGCAGCTGAATGCAACTTTCAACAGAATGCTGTACTGTCTTCCTTTGCTATAGACTATGAGTTCCTGACTCTATAGAGGCACAGTTGCAAATTTCAGTTGGATTAGGTGGTTGTTTCTACAGAAACCTTTGCATCAAATTGGAAAAAAAAATTTCTTCAAACAGTCTCTCATAGATCAAAATATTTGGAAATGGGTTCAGCATCCTGTAAAAGGAAAGATTCCCAGAGACCTTTTATTGCTAGAATTTGGGAGGTGTACACAATAAACAATGTTAAGTCAAATGAAGGACATTTCTATCTCCTTTCCCTTTCCTTTTCCCTTTCTCTTTCTTTTCTTTTCATCAGCCGTTTTTGAACAAATGGTATTTTTGCTGAGCACTAAATATTGAATGTCATTAACGTCAACAAAACTGTAGTCAGCAGGGTTCATTTCAGCCATTGGCATCTGCTAACCAGGCCTTATTAAAAAGTTTGGGGGTAACAAAAGGAGTCTAATTTGCACCCCAAATCTGGAATGCTGGCATTCTTAGGAAGATGTAGGATTAACGAGGACCGTGGAGGCAGAGCTGGCAATAGAAAAGGCTTAAGGGAGGAAACAACTATATTAAAGTGGTCTTTGTGACTAGCTAGTTTGCAATTGCTTGACATTGCAAAACATTGAAATCTGGAGTTGGCAGACGTTTCTAATAACTTCTTTAAGATAGCTGTTTTTATTTTGCTCATATGAACATTGTTTTCTTTTTAAGATACTTCTAGAATCAATTACCAAAGTTAGTGAGTGTAGAAATAGGTTTTAGTGCTGGAAAGCATAATCTTTTCTTATGCCAAATCCACTTTTTTGGGGTGAATCCTTTGAAATAAAGACCAAGATGAAACCAAGTTTTCCTCAACCTCATTCTGGGCTATATATGCAAAACATTGAAGGATGAATTGAGACTATAACAAATATATCTACATTTTAAAGCCACAAAATCCAAGCAATTATTTGTTATGTCACGTATTGTATTGTTCATACAATGTGACATGCATTTAAGTACTTCTGAAATATAAGCTAGGATAGCCTTCTCTAATGTGATTCAATCTAGTACTTCTCAACATATGTAACTTCATCTTGATTGGGAATCGTTGTGAGGTTTATTCCAGAAGAATGTGCACTGGGAAAATCTGCTACTGCAGTAATCAGAAATCTTGAGTTTTGGGGTCTTTCCCCAATTTTAAATCAGGAATTTTCTGTGAAGCTGCCTTTGAAAGTCAGAAATACAGCCTGTGTTGTTTTTAAATATGATTAGCTAATCCTTTGGCACTAAAAATCTCAGCTCACCAAGTCTTAGGTCTGACCCAAAGGAAAGAAAAAAGGGTAAAAACATAAAATCCAACAAACTCTTTCACAACAATCCACAACAACACACAGAGCTCTGTCTATTGAAAGGGGACTTGGCAGAGTTCAGTGGTAGCAGAACAAACTCCAAGCCGTACTAAGGGACGTGCTTGGAGTGGACAAAACATGCTAATTGTGTGTGAGAAGGATCTAAAGCTAAACCCAAAATGAAGAGAGAAAGAGAAGCTTTGTCCAGAGTTCTCAGCACTCCGGGTTTCGTACATATCGTCTGCCTTTTTGTAATCTACTATGCAGGTAGGAAACTAGTCTTTTTAAAAACATTTGGGCAAAAGGTATTCGAGTTATGGGTCAAGCAATCACTCCTGTGGAAACAAGGAAGGTTCTCTTGGGATGCTGAATGCCTGGGTGTGAATTGCCCAGCTTCTAGGCAGAGACATCAGAAGGGTCCAAATATGCTGCTCTTTTCCTTCACAGCTCTGTGCTTGAAACAAGATGGCTTTAAATGCATTTCAGTGGCTGTTTTTTTTAAAAAAAGAGTTATTACACTGTTCTTTATAGAATAGATTGCAGATCTATGCATCTCTAAATCTAGGGAATTCTTTGAAGGAATGCATCTTGAATACTGGTTCTGCTCAGGTATGTTTTTAAAACAAGACTTTCAAGCTACGCTGATAATATTTACAGAAAAGGGACTGATAATGGCATAAATAAAAGAATGGATCTTAGCAATATTTAAATTTCCTATGTGTGTATACAGTACAGTATACACCTTGACGCTTCAGTGAATTTCGTAGAATTTTCTCTTGAATCAATATGTATATACTTGTATATATATATACTGTGTATACTTGCTTATTTGGACATTTGGTTTAGTGGGATTGAACTCAATTAGGACATTGAGTTCAATGGGAGTTTCGCGTCTGAGCAATTGTACACACTGTTGCACTGCTGATTTTGTGATTTGCACTTCCTGGATTATGCAACATATTACATTAAGATTAAGTTGCCAAGGAGTGGATAACTATAACATTCCCTACTGTATAGTGAAGATACTTTTTCAGTAGTTTTCCAAGTAGGTCTAGTTAGAATTGTTATGTGAAAGATTAACATGGAGATAATAACTATTATGTGATCTATGGCAGACTTTCCTGGTTGGGATCATTCGCTGGAGAAGATGTGAATCTGTACAACTGTAGAATCTGGTAGGTAGGTAGGTAGGTAGATGTATGGATAAATAGATCCTTTAAAGATAATTATGTTACACTGTAACATATTATGTCAATCTATAATTTCGAATGTCACCTATCTTGGACACAGAAAAAACATTGCACCAGATTGTTTAATCCACATTTTCTTCCTTCCATGCTTATGTACCTCTCTATTCTCTCCATTTATGATACTTAGAAAAGGAAACAGCTATTTTTGATTAGTCAATGAATTATATTATTTCAAAAAGTGTCAGTATTCATTAAGCTATCATTTGCTGCATTCACATAACACACAATCATAAACCATGCATTAGGAGCTGCAGTGGAGGAGATATGTTCATGTAGCTTTTTGTACACCTAGTCTTCCTGGTTGCCAAGTTAATGCGTAGAATTTGTGGCTTGAAAGTACGAGCTTTGTTTGTTCCTTTGTAGTCATGAACAGGTGTAGTCAGATGGTCTGATTTTTGGGAAAGCATCTGGGGGAAGCAATCAAGCTGGGAAATTTTCAAACAGGTCTCAGGTATGATCACAGCTGAAGAAACAAACAAATTTAGCTCTTTGAAGAGTGAAAGCCACAAATCCTATGCATTAACTTAGGTAAACGAGAAGACCAAATGTGTAACAAGCCATATGAGCATATTTCTTTGCTGCAGTTCCTAACACATGGTTTACAGCTTGTGTTGTGTGAATACAGAAAATGAAGGCTTAATGAATATCGGGACTTTTTGAAATAATAGCTGCATAGGCTGGAGGATCAATTCTATTACATGAGATGTTAAAGAAAAAGAAAATGGCTTCCTTGTTTCAAGCTGGATTCCTGATAACTTCATGGACATGTCCATGCCATTTTTTGGGCAGTGATGCTATTGTCTTCTGACCTAGTCCTTTTGACTTTCCAGTGTAGTTGGTAACTCTGGGATTTGCTACTAGTCCCCCATCCTTGTATTAATCAGGCACAACTTTCTTAGCTTTTGTGAAGGCTTAGTCAAGATAAGCTAGATATTGCCATCAGCTATGTAATATATTTCTATTTTAATACAGTAATTATTCCATGCTAGCTAGCTAAGATCAAGAAATCATCACATTCATTTTATGTAGATTAATGTCTTCTTGTAACCTGGGTTGTTAAACTGAATTGCTTGTTTTAATTAATATAATGGGGTATTCCCATCTTTTCTTGGCCATTTTTAAATGGTTTCCTTGTTAGGAATCCAACCTTGCTTTATTTGACCAGCATATGATTTGGGGGAAATGTGCATATGAAATGTGCCCTAAGGAAAATACATGGAAAGGTAACTTGTCTGGATCGTGTATATTCACTACTACAAAACAGTAATATAGATAGGCTAGAATTCTCTAGGGTTGAAGGACATCAACTTGAAAAACCCAGACTTGAAGCTAAGTGGACCTCAACAGTCTAAATGCTCAGAAACCTATATGGGAACTCACACATTCCTAAAATAATAGATATGACTGGGTAACTTTAGCCCACAGGTGTCAAACTTGCCATGTCATGTTGCTATCACATGACATTTTGCGATGTTTTTCTCATTTGCAGACCTGGGGTGGCCGTGGCCTGTGCATGATGCATCTGGCCCGCAGGCTGCCGATTTGATACCCATGCTCTACCCAATGCTTTGTTTTGAACTAGAGCCCCCTTCTCTCTTCAGAAGAGAAAAAAGAACAAAAGAAAATGTAGGCCTTCTAGTCAAAATGGCTTTGTGCAGAGCTAGACCCAAGGTAGCCACCATTTTGATCTGACATGCTCTTAAAATTCCAAATGCATTCATTGGATCAAAAAGATTGTCCATTTCTTCGAGATACACTTCATCTGATTTAGTTAATACTAATTTAGCAAATTTAACACTCTTATATTCCCAACAGTGGCTGCTAAAAGCCACGAGCAGGTGCATTGCTATGAACAAGGCCATTTTGGGTTCTATTGAAGACACGCCAAACCAGAAGCATCCCTATCTGAGGCTGCCTCTGCTTCCTTTGTCTGGCTGGTGATGCTGCCAAGCCTTTCATGTAACTTGATGAATCAGAAATGCTGCTGTTCCTTATACTCCAGCCTTTTAAATTAGAGCCAGGAAGGAGCTAAGCCCCACAACCAAAAGCTTTGTCCTTGGCTCCTGGCAGTCTCGAGTCTGCCCCCAAATGTTGGATTGGATGCCTAGGAGACCAGCACACCCTCCCTGTTTCCAGCAAAGAAGCTCCTTTGCCCAGGATACAAAATGTACTGGAAGTACACAGCTTTCAAAACAGTCAGCTTGAATGACTGCCCAGTGTTTCCAAACGTCTTTCAGCGAACAAACACTCCTGATTCTATTCATAGTGTCCCAACCCTAGAAGAATTCCCTCAAAGGAACATCTAGGGACTAGCTTAGCCCACCTGCAGTGAAGCAGAACCACCCAGTTATTTCGACCTCCCTTCCTCCAGTAGTCTAAACTCGTTTTCTCAACCAGACACCCTCCAGATGGGCTAGGACATTGATTCCCATAACATGCAACCCATGGAGAGCATCTGATTGGGGGAAATTAATGGAAGACAAAGCATAGATTTTGTTTCTTTAGCGGCAAGGCTCTCCAAACTTGGCAAGTTTAAGACTTGTGGACTTCAACTCCCAGAATTCCTGAGCTAACATGACTGGAGGAAGAATTCTGGGAGTTGAAGTCCACAAGCCTCAAAACTGTCAAGTTTGAAGACACCCTGCTTTAGCCAATGGCATCTACAGAGTTCATGGAATCACTGATATACCTATATAAGTTTAAAACATCAGGATGGCTGGATACATGGCTGGATAGATGGCTGGATAGAAAGATAGCTAAACAGACAGACAGACAGATACAGTATCTATCTATCTCTATCTATATCTAGCTAGCTAGCTAGCTAGCTAGCTAGCTAGCTAGATACAGAGATAGATGATAGATGATGGCTAGATAGAGACAGGTAGGTAGGTAGGTAGGTAGGTAGGTAGATAGATGATAATTTACCCTCTCTTAGCTGAGACCCCTGAATGCCATTCATCCTTCTCACGAGAGCCTTTCCCTCTGGGGATGATCTGCTTTGAGGTCTTTCCTGTAGGGATGGAGAAGAAATCTGCCACCAAGATCTTGGAGACTGAGATTGGCCATGTCCCAGGCAAAAGCTGCACATCAATTCCACCAGGGTACACTTCTTCTAATTCTAAACACCTGTAGAAAATAGCATTTTCTAGAAAGATGAATCTTGAATGAAAGCATGTCTTAGAATATTCAATGTTTTTTGAATGTGTATAAGAAGTGACTGCCTTTTTAAAAGAATATATAGCAAGAGATGTGTTGAAATAAATTTAGATTGGGAAAGTTACTTTAAAAAAACATGGAACTATTAGGAATGTATGTACAAGATACTTTATACAAGCTGAGGGACAGAATTGAAGATGGTAAGGCAAAGAACAGAGAAAACATGGCCATCACTCAGTCATGGAATGCGATTTAATAAATAAGCTTTAAAATTGGTTCCCCCCCCCCCCATGCACTCACTATTCCTTTCCTTTCTGTGATTAAAATCTTATACTTCAAGCTTATAAATATGACCCAACTTTTTCTCTGTTTGAATATATGCCATATGATTTTTAGCTGAATGGCAGGATAAAAAAAAATCTATGAATAAATAATTCAATTGTATTCAAATGAGAAAGAAGAAGGAAGTGTTACCAGGCAGATAGCAGAGCTCTGGCTGGTGTGTCATCTAACACTTCCTAGCAAGAGTAGAAAGACAACTGGCTACACAGGGGAGAGAATCACTACTATCTGAAATTAAAACAGTTTGAGAGTAGTTGATCTTACTTCTGGCTTGGTTATGCACTCACCAATAAGTAAAAAAAAAATGTATTTCTAAAGGTAGAAGGAGCTGTATAGTAAAGTCCTTTTTCCTGTTAGATTTATGGAACTCATGATATAGCCTGATAATCTGTTTTAATGCAGCTGGTAAGAAGCATCATAGCTAACTGATCAGGGCTCTCCACATGCAATAATAAAAAAACAAAATGGTAACCATGCTGCCCATAAAAACAGGTAAGGCTTCAATTACACAATTACATC